TCAGTTTTTACAAATTGTTAAATTTCAGTTTTTGTGACTCAATCACTACAGAAGGAATTTGACAGCACCTAGCAAATGACACACACAAATACCATTTACCTCAGCAATTCTGCTACTAGGAAATTATCCCAAAGATTCAATGGCAAGAATACAAAAAATCCAGATGCAGAAGCTACTCACTGCAACATTGTTTGTAAAAGCAGAAGATCAGAAACAGACCTGAAGTCACCATCCACCCGGGAGTGTGGATTAAGACACAGGGCATCCCAACACCTGGGTGTGATGTGGATGGAGGGAGGCGGGGAATGGGTGAGATCTTCAGGGTGCACTGTTTAGTTTTTAAAACAGAGGGACCGGAAAAGTACCTATAGCTTGTTGCTTTTACATACACATGCATGTCTATTTTCAATAAGAAAGAGTGGAAAACTAAACCAAAACCAATAAAAATCGTAATTTATGGATGAGGGGCAGAGACAGAAGTGAGTTTTTTTCTTGTTTTTTATAGTTTGACTTTGCAAACATATAGTATCAAAAATAGAAAAAATATATCTGTCAAAACTGAGAACAAACTAACACAAATGAACCTAATTGTTTCAAGCTGGTGACACAGTTGCACAGAACAAAACATTATTTAAGAGGATTTTAAATGCAGGATTTTGACTCTGTGTTCAGAGAAGAGTACTTCTAAGGGCAAAGAGAAACAGAGAAAAGCACCCTCCCTCCAAAACAAATTCAAAAATCCAAAGAAATGTGAGACTGTATTCAATACCTTATGGCTGGTGATAGTTCTACCGTTATTTTGAAAGTATCATGTTTTACATTACAGGTTAAAGCAAATGAGTAATTAATGTTAATCTTGTTCTGAGGCAAGACTTTCAGTGGATAGAGAAACGATGTTTAAGTATAAAACAAAAAAGTGTAAGTGGAAGCCTACAGTCTTTAAATTTGGAAAAATAAGTTTGTACCCATTAGTTCTTTTCTTTTTTTTTCTTTTTAGAATATCTGTACTTCTCAGGCTGACCACTAAAAAGCCTCGAAGCAATGGCAATGTGCTAACTGTGACTGTCCTGAGGCATAGCTTGTGGCCTCTAATTACCATTTCTCACTAGAACATGCAGAAATTTTTGAAGAAATGGTTGACTTTGGGGCTGGACCAAGAAATGCAGAAGATAAGCCTGGGAATCTTGAAGGACCAGAAAGTTGAGGACCTTCAAAGACCATAAGAGGTCAGACAAAGTTTACGAATCCATATGAAAAGATCAAAGGTGGGACAATTTTAGCATCACAGCAAATATATAAAAATCCAGTAGTTCCAAATGGTAATAGACAACAATCTAATTTGTCACTGTGACAAATCACAGTGGTACCAACTCCTTATTTTGATCATTGAGAAAGGGAAATAATCATCAATATTTATGCTAATTTTGTTGCTGTGAAGCATATTTCATGTAACTACACATAGTTGAAGGAATACTCTTTTTAATTGAAGAATTCTAGGAATTAAATTCAGAAGGAGTGGTAGAAACAGCAAATCATTGTTTTGCCACATCCTCATGAAACAGTAGATCTAGGCAAAGGTCATCAATGGACACTAAAACCATAGGATGAAAACTCAAAGGGGAAGTTTATAAATGGGTGTAAGTGTTTGACATCAAAGGGGAAGTTTATAAATGGGTGTAAGTGTTTGACATCAGGACCCACAGCATCTCAGCATCTATCAAAGTGGATCAACTAGAAATTATGAGCCTCTTGAAGTGGTGCCACAAGAAATATATGGAGCTCTGTATGAAATATTCCAATGAAAAATTTTCAACTCATGACTAGATCTAATTACCAGTTTGTGGGGAAATACACAGATAGAGGAACAGAGCGGCAATCCTCTAAACCATCAGTCCCTAATCTTTTTGGCAACAGGGTCTGGTTTCCTGGAAGACAATTTTTCCAAGGACTGGTTGGGGCTGGGGCGGGGGGTGGGGGGGCATGGGGTGGCAGCAGGAGGAGGAGGAGATGTGGGAATGGTTTGGGGATGATTCAAGGGCATTACATTTACTGTGCATTTTATTTCTATTATTATTACACTGTGATATATAATGAAATAATTATACAACTCACCATAATGCAATATCAGTGGGAGCCCTGAACTTGTTTTCCTGGAACTAGACTGTTGCATCTGGGGGTGATGGGAGCGTGATAGGGAGCAGCTATAAATACAGATGAAGCCTCATTCACTGGCCTGCTGCTCACCTCCTGCTGTGCGGTCTGGTTCCTAATAGACCAAGGATTGAAGGACTGGTACTGGTCTACAGCCAGGGGGTTGTGGGCCCCTGCTCTAAAGCCAGTACTTGGGACATTCTATAAGACAAACAACCTCACCTCCTCAAATATTTTAAACAAATAAATGACATAAAAGGAGGGGAGACTGTTACTTATTTAAAGTCTTTAAAGACAAAAACCAAATTAAATAAGTGTCCATTCTCTAGATTCTGATTTGAATCAACAAACTGTGAAAAGTCATTTTTTTTTTAGAGGATTGGACATGGATGGGACACTAGATTTTACTTTTGTTTGGAACAAAATAGCATTGTGGTTGCTTATACTTTGTGAAACAAAGATCCGTCTAGTCAAGGCTATGGTTTTTCCAGTAGTCATATATGGATGTGAGAGTTGGACTGTGAAGAAAGCTGAGCACCGAAGAATTGATGCTTTTTAACTGTGGTGTTGGAGAAGACTCTTGAGAGTCCCTTGGACTGCAAGGAGATCCAACCAGTCCATCCTAAAGGAGATCAGTCCTGGGTGTTCATTGGAAGGACTGATGCTGAAGCTGAAACTCCAATACTTTGGCCACCTCATGCGAAGAGTGGACTCATTGGAAAAGACCCTGATGGTGGGAGAGGCTGGGGGCTGGAGGAGAAAGGGGCGACAGAGGATGAGATGGCTGGATGGCATCACCAACTCTATGGACATAAATTTGAGTAAACTCCAGGAGTTAGTGATGGACAGGGAGGCCTGGCGTGCTGCAATTCATGGGGTCGCAAAGAGTCGGACATGACTGAGTGACTGAACTGAACTGACTGATACTTTCTTTAGTGGTAATCTCTTCCTCACAATACTTCAGCAAAAATGTGTGAATGTGTACTGAGTCGCTCAGGTATGTCTGACTCTGTAGCCTGCCAGGCTCCTTTGTCCATGGGATTTTTCAGGCAAGAATACAGAAGTGGGTTGACATTTCCTCCTCCCAGGGATCTTCCCACCCAGGGATGAAACGCACATCTCCTGTGTCTCCTGCATTGCGGGCAGATTCTTTATGCACCAAGCCATCAGGAAAAGTCGCTGTAGACCAAGGGAATTTAGTGACAATCTAAGGACTGGAACTCAGGCGGTTGGAGCCATGAGTCAGCCTCTGGAGAGCTGAGTGAGTGCTGGGCAGAGCTGTCCAGCTGTGGAATGAATGGGCTACACTGTGGGCCTCCTGGCCTGAGCAAGGCAAGCAGAGGCTGTCTGACCTCCAGCTGCTCTCAGGGCTGCCTTGGGACTGCTGCCTGGAAGAGAGCTGTTTTTTCCTTCTTACATCCATCTGGCCTGAGTGGCTGGGGAGTTTTCTTTGTCCTTCTGGAGCCTTATCACAGCCAATGCCAAGGTCAATGGGGATGGAAATATGCAGGGCTGCAGTGTAACACCAAAGGGTACCCAAACTAGACACCGAGCCTCGAATGTCTTGGCTGAGCATTTTATCAGTAATTACACCAGTTCATGCATCATGCTGTTAAAAAAGGTTTAAGAGTGTGTGTGTGTGTGTGTGTGTGTGTGTGTGTGTGTGCGAGCTTTATGGGGGACTTAAATCCTAGGGTGAAATGCTTTCCATTGGGGTGAAATGCACCCTCACTCCAGCTGATGTTTCATCCTGGTTCATCAAGAATGATTTCTTCAAAACAGACATAGCCTTCAAAAACAAATTTATGGCAACCAAAGAGGAAAGGTGGAGGGAGTGAGGGATAAATTGAGTGTTTGGGACTAGTATATATAAAGTAATATATGTAATATTTCTATATTTATATAATACATTTTAATATATTTATATATTATTATATGCATTATATATAATATATATGTATAAAGTAATATATATATAAAGCACTAATATATAAAGTATGAAATCAAAAAAGAGCTATTCTATAGCACAGGAAAGTCTAGTCTACTCAATATTCTGTAGTAACTTATATGGGAAAAGAATATTAAAAAGAATGGATATATGTAAATAACCAAATTGCTTTGCTGTATAACTGAAACTAACATAAAATTGTAACTCATATATACCCCAATATAAAATGAAAGTTAAATTTTAAAAAGATAAGGTTTCTTCTAAGGACTAGAACAGGCTCTCTTTCCTCATGAGATTCCTGATGTGACGCTGAAGCCGGCAGAGCAAATGCAGAACAATTCAACATTATCTGAAGTTGCCTTTTCCCTGGCTTTGGTGTTCTTTGGCTTCTAGTGGGCATCTTTGACTTTGGAGGATCTCATACAAGAGCCCATAGACAGTGGGTGGTCATTAGTTGAAGGCTGAGAGATAGGAGCCAGTGGGAGTATGAAAGCCCAGCTCCCGAGCATTGGATCGGGGCATGTTTGAGGCACAACTTATGTTCCAGAGCTGCCTGTGGGAGCAGGCTACAGTTCCCCTCTCCAAGACTTCCATGATATCACACAAAGCTCAGTTTCATCCATTTTCCTGTCCTGCTTCCCCTGTGCCCTCGCTGGTTCCTCGGGAAGAACTCTGAAATAAATCACTTGTACAGGAAACCTGGCATCATGGGCTACTCTGGGGCAAATGACCTAAGATGACCCCCTTCTTTAGGCAACCCGCTGGAAACCCCAAGTGATATAGGTTCCCCTTCCAAGTCTTCCTACAGCATCTTGAAGCTGTCTTGGCTATATGGCTTTGTTCTTGCTTGAGTTTCTGAAGCCCATGCTAGACCACAGGTTCCAGAATGCAGGGATCTTACTTGACTCACTTGTAAGTCCATGTGAGATCTTGTCTGTATCCATCAGACTCTAATTGTCAAAGCAAAGTTAACACAGAGATTTGTTAATAGATTATGAGTGTTAGGTTACAGGCTCAACTGTTGTAATCAAAGCCTAAATAACATTGCCTTCAATAGAATACACTTCCATTTCTCTTTCATGCAGTAATAGTCCAGGTCACGCCACAGTGATAGGGACCCAGTTTTTTCTTGCTGCTTTGCCATCTTCCACATGTGATACTCACCTCTGGTCTAACATGGCTGCTCCAGCTCCTGTTATTACATCTGTATTCCAGCTAGGAGGACAGAAAGGGGATATGCCCCTTTCATTAAAGGCCACAACCAAAAGTTATAAACTCACTTCCACTCATTTTTCATTGGCTACAATGAAGTCATAGAGGCTAGGAAATGAACTTTTTAGCTGGGTGGCCCTAGTCTAGGGGTTTAGTTACCAAATGAAGAAAGAGACAATTAGGAGTGCCTGTTATACCCTCCTGTTTAAGTGGAGAGAAACTGAGTTACACTATGAAGACATAAAACCCCCAAACCTCAAAATCTTGACATAACTGAGGTTTATTTCTCACTCACATCTGACTTTGTGGACAGGAAGCCCTGCTCATCACACTCTCTCAGGGATGAAAGCGGGTGGAGGCTCCCTCTGGATGCAGGGGAAGGGAGTGTGTGGCAAATTGGGCTCTGCTTCTTAAAGGGTTCCACTTGGAAGTGACATATCACTTCTACTCAAACTCCACTGGCTGAAGTAACTTCCATGGTCGTGGCAAACCTGGGGGTGGTGGGTACACAGAAGGGCAGGGGCATGTGATCCTACTGCAGAACATTCATGATGAGCAACAAGGGCCGCCACCCTTCATTCATGTCCCTGTGCTTTGTTTGTCTTTGGTTCTCCCCACCCTGATCTCAGCCTGTTTTGACCTGTAGATTCAGATTTAGATGAGAGGGATTTATATGGCAGGGCATATACAAGGCTGTTAGTAAGTGGGGAAACCAAGCCAAAAAAAGAAAGAAGTCCAAAATCTATTAGAAAACATGCTTGTAATTGCAACTCTGCATTTATATAGGATTAGGTATATATGCAGTTTATAAATAAATTTAACAAAAAACATAAAGGAAAGAAATTCAAATATAAATTTATTGACCAAATTAGGAAAGGAATACATCAAGGCTGTACATTGTCAACTTGCTTATTTAACTTACCTGCAGAGTACATCATGAGAAATGCCAGACTGGATGAAGCACAAGCTGGAAGCAAGATTGTCGGGAGTAATATCAATAACCTCATATATGCAAATGACACTACCCTTATGGCAGAAAGTGAAGAAGAACTAAAGAGCCTCTTAATGAAAGTGCAAGAATAAAATGAAAAAGTTGGCTTAAAACTCAACATTCAAAAAACCAAGATCATGGCATCCAGTCCCATCACTTCATGGCAAAAATGGGAAAACAATGGAAACAGTGAGAGACTTTATTTCTCTGGGCTCCAAAATAACCACAGATGGTGACTACAGCCATAAAATTTAAAGATGCTTGCTCCTTACAAGAAAAGTTATGACAAACCTACACAACATGTTAAAAAGCAGAGACATAACTTTGCCAACAAAGGTATAGACAAAGCTATGGTTTTTCTAGTAGTTGTGTATGGATGTGAGAGTTGGACTATAAAGTAAGCACCAAAGAATTAATGCTTTTGAACTGTGGTGCTGGAGAAGACTCTTGAGAGTCCCTTGGACAGCAAGGAGGTCAAATCAGTCAATCCTAAAGGAAACCAGTCCTGAATATTCATTGGAAGGACTGATGCTGAACCTGAAGCTCCAATACTTTGGCCAAATGATGAGAAGAACTGATTCATTGGAAAAGCCCCTGATGTTGGGAAAGACTGAAGGCAGGAGGAGAAGGGGATAACAGAGAATGAGATAGTTGGATGGCATCACCAACTCAATGGACATGAGTTTGAGCAAGCTCCGGGAGTTGGTGATGGACAGGGAAGCCTGGTGTGCTGCAGTCCATGGGGTTGCAAAGAGTCGGACAAGACTGAGCAACTGAACTGAACTTATTAATCAAATCCAACTAATAAATAATAATAAAGCCTTACAATATTAAGCACATATAGTGTCAGGTTTAAGTTTGGATGCACATTGCAAAAAACCCAAAACATCAATATCTTTAAGAAGATAAAATTTCATTTTTTTTCTCCCACAAAAAGAAGTCTGGATGTGGGCCATCCAGAGCTTGCCTAGTTCCCATCTCTAAGGTCACATGATGGGCCAGTACAACTGCAGGAGTTCCAGCCAACATATCTGAAGTCCAGACAACAGTTAAGATGAAGGTGGGGAAGGAAAGAGACTCATCTCTCAACTGAATCAGCTCTTTGAAGGCAGTCTTCCAAGAAATCCTTCTTACAGGTCTGCTTATATCACAAAGTCACCAGTCATGACTAAGAGCAAAGGAGGGTGGGAAATGCAATCTTGTAGCTACTGGGCGCATGGCTACATAACAGAAGGCATTCTGTTTTTAAAAATAACCTGAGAATGGCAATTTCATAAGTAGTACCACCCCCTGCCTCAAGAGACACAAAAGATCCATCCAAAAAGATGGATCAGGCCGAAATGCAAGGCACAGTATGGGAGTCACTAGCGGGAAGCAAGAATGAAAAACAGCTATGTGGATCTGACCTGAGATCTCACGGGACAAACAGAAAAGACAGTCTTCACTGGAGATCTCCTGAGCCCTGAATTGGGATTAAATCTACCACACAGTCAAACTTCTTTTGGAAAACTGCCTTTCCAACTCAGGTTGCAAGTCTTTCTCAATATCTCAGCTTCTTAAGTATCTTGTCTTTGTTACCTCACATTCTGACCTGCCTGTCTCACCTTCCTTACTTCTGTTCACATCATATCTTCATCCAGTCCACCAGTCACTCAGTTATGCCCAACTCTTTACAATCCCATGGACTGCAGCATGCCAGGCTTCCCTGTCCTTCACCATCTCCCAGAGCTTTCTCAAACTCATGTCCATTGAGATGCCATTCAACCGTCTTGTCCTCTATCATCCCCTTCTCCTCTTGCCTTCAGTCTTTCCCAGTATCAGGGTCCACAAGCATAACAAGATTCAGTATTGAGGAGATTCAGTATTGAGAAGCAGATAGAAACAGAATGACTATTTTAATATGTATTCTGTTCCTGATCAAGGTCATCTGAAGGACTGAGATGGCTAGAATAGGGAGATATCTTGTTTCCTCTAAAGTCCCACCCAAGAAGGTGACTTCCTTGAACCTGGGGATGGTGTGTTCACTTTTGCATCCACAGGTCTAACAGTACAGGTATTCAGTGTATGCATGTGGAGTAAATGAACAAGAGAAGATAGTAAGGAGCTGTCTTCACTTTCTCTTTCTCACTTTTTGCCTGTGTCAGGGTCAGTCTGAATAGGAAAATTAGAAATATTTGAGGACTGGTGTATGGGAACATGGGTGCAAGTGATAGGGGACCTGGGTCATAGAGGGTGGAGAGGCTGAAAAGAGCCAGAAGTGGAAAATAAGAAGAAACAAGCTAGGAAGAGCAGGCTTTTCTAATGCCATCTGCCTCAGATGACCTGAATTTTGTGCCAAGTTTGTCCCCTCCCTCCTTTGCCCTAATTCTCTATCTTTACTTATTCAGCAGGGCCAGCATTACTCTCCCCACCCCACCCTAAGATACTTGGCAGTGACCAAGTTGATTCAGAGAGCAGCCCTTGTCATTTCCTCTCAACACCCTCAGTGGGATCACTGTGTCTGTCACATTCACAGGATAGTGCTGTCAGCCTTTCAGGAGTTCTCGGATCTGTGTGAAAAGATGTACAGAATACTGTCTTCCTACCATAGAGAAGTTTCCATCTAGAGAGAGTGAAGATTCAATTACAGAAAAATGTAGCAAATACTAAAAAGAAAAAAGGGGGTGGGGGAGTGTGAGGAAATTGAAGAACATAGAAGGGGGCACTTACCCAGTCTTGGGGGTACCAAAAGTGGAGTATATGAATGACATTCTAAAGAATGTCAGTGATAGGAAAACCTAAAACAACAGTGGCTCACAAAGGTGGTTTACTTCCTTTCATATAAAAATCCAGAGGTGGGCATCCAGCAGTGTCATGAGGCATGGAGCTCCATGGTGTCACCGCTCAGCCTCCCTCTTTTTTTGTGTGGTCAGGCATGGCCTCTAGTCTCACGGTTACCTCATGGTTCAAGATGACAACTCTAGCTCAGGCTACTGTGTCCATATTCATGTCCTACCATTGTACCAGTAAGTGAAAGGATTGCAGAATATAAACTCAAGCCATCAGTAGGATTTTCTAAAACAAATACCAAATGAAAAATTATACTGCAAAAAATGTTTATAACAAAAAGTTAAGATTCACTGTCTTGACTCTCCCCACCCCCAGAAACAATTTCAACCCAGCCTTCTGGCATCTGCTGTCAATGGGAGCCAGGCTGACATTATGTCCAAAGTGAAACGTTTTCAAAACCAGTCACAGCATCCCTCAAAAGTGCTACCTGTGTCCCAGAAGGGGCAGTAGCTGAGATGCCTTCCTCACTGATCCCATCCCTGGCAGCCTATGAGGGACTCTTCATGAAAGTGAAAGTGTAGTCATTCAGTTGTGTCCAACTCTTTGTGATCCTATCGACTGTATGTAGCTGCCAGGCTCCTCTGTCCATGGGATATCCCAGGCAAGAGTACTCGAGTGGGTTGCCATTTCCTTCTCCAGGGGATCTTCTGGACCCAGGGATGGAACTCACACCTCCCGCATTGTGGGCAGGCTCTTTACCATCTGAGCCATGAGAGAATCTATGAGGGACTCATCATAGAAAGAGTAAACTCAGCTCAATAGCCAACAGTGATTATCTTAGCCAATCAGATCCACTCTCTCAAGAATATGAAAAAGAAATTTGAGAGTATCCATTGAAAGGAAAGGTGTAACATGAAAAAAGAGTCAAATGAGGAGAATGAGGCGAAAAG